ATAATTTTTTAGAAAATCGATGTATACGGAATTATTAAGGAATTTGAAATAACGTTGTAGTTGCTATAATCCTTATTTTACAAATGTATAGCATTTTTGAGTTCGATAAGCTTCAACATAGCTTGTACCTTCTTGATCATTTCTGCCACTCATCATCAAAAGGATTTGTTTTACAAATTAATTTTTAATTGCTGAGAATCTTTTCCTTCATGTTGAATGATAATTTCTTATAATAATTTCTTTTCAATGTTATTGTCTTCTAATCTTTAATTAAATTATTCTTTATCTTTCTTTAATTATTATATTTCTTCTCTTTATTCTTATTATTCTTAACATTATATTTATTTATCTCTTACGATTATATCTTCTGAATATTATTTCCATATGTTTCTTCTGAATATCTTTTACGAATGTATCTTCTAAATGTGTCTTCCGAATGTTTATTCCGAATATCTTCCAAGTATATCTTCTGAATATCTTCCAAATATTATTTATGAATATGTCTTACAAATATATTATTTCTCCTTATTATTTTAATTTCTCCTTTAATATTTTATTTATTTTCCTTTATTTCTTTACGTTAAAATATTCTTTAATTTTGATTATATTTTATTATTCCTTCTAAGTTTATTTTAGCATTACTTCATTAACTTTTTATAAAATTATAGTTTATATACAAGCGTAATAACTTTATTTATTTCCATAATTTATTGTTCAACAATTAATTATTTCAAACAAAAGTATTCATTTTTATTTGTGTTAAAAATTTATTTATTTAAAAATTTTTTTTTATTTGGGAGAAAGGAATTAAACGACTTGGTTTCTTAAGGAAATCCTAAGCCTTTATATAATAAAATTCACTTCGTAATATTCGTTACATGATTTTTACTACATGATTTTCTCTACATGATTTTCTATATATGATTTCTATATTTACTATTATTCCTAATTTTCTGTTGTTCATTACTAAATTCTGTATTTGTATTTGTTTACTATTTATTGTTTACTGTTTACTATTTAATTTCATTCCATTGTATTAATTCATACTTCCGTTATATTAATTATCATTTGTTTTTCCTTATAATTATTTAATATTTTAATAATAATTTTTCCTTTTTACTTTTTCGTACTTCTGTCTTTCTTCCGTATTTCGTATCACTACTAACTTCTGTTCTTCTTCTGATTTCCGTTTTGTTTATGATATCATGTGTAACCTTCTTGCATCTTGTGTAACTTCTTCAATTTGTTATTTTTCAAATATTTTCTAAGTCTTTTTATAAGACCCTCTGTTTGGTTGATTAATTACCCTTTTCCTTTGACCCTCCGTTTGGTTAATTAATTATCCTTTTATTTCGGTAACTAATTTATCTGAATCATTTTCTTTCGTGATTTATCCGTCTCATGTAATCTTCCTTTTCGATCCGTAATTTATCTGAGTATTATTCTTTTCTCTTAATAAAATGATTATTACTCTTTTAACATATGACTTTTCCTTGTGACTTTTTACTGAATATTGTTGATCATTTCCTTTTGTATTGCTGCGCCTTGATTAATGAAATTGTTGACTCTACAACGTATATCAGTGATAGTGAAAGCTTACCTAGAAAGTTTTTTCTTAGTAGGAAATGTAAACAAATCTGACTGAATGTCTGTAAAAGACATAGTAATACAGCTAAAAAAATAGTTGAAGAAAGGAAATTCAAGAAAACGAGGTGCTAGAAATCAAAATAGTTGAAGGGTAGATTACAAGGTATTCGGCAAGCTTACGTAAAGGAGTGGCAGAATAAAGGGTAATGAACAGATCATGCGATTAAGTTGGATTAGAACTAGTAAAAGATCTGAAAATAGTAGTAAAAATACTCTGCTAAAGAACAACTGGTAGAAAAAACTATAATTTTTATTAATTACATCCAAAATTAATAAAATTTTGAATTTTTTTATACTTCAAATCTCTGTTTCCTCCATAGTAAATTTTTCGAATAGAAAGCTGAAGCATGTTTTTTTATTAAATAAGTAAAATTTGTGATGTTTTTTATCATATTGTCTAATTTTTTTTAGGTTATATATTATTTTGTATGATCAATATCAAGACGATTGCTGTATGTTGCTAACTTATTATATGACAATCACCCTAAATTGTCATAAAGTTGCATCGATTATTACACAATCACAAATTAATAGTTTAAATTTTTTATTACTTTCTGTTTTACCTATATTATAATAAATTTTATCAAATAAAAATAATAAAAATAATAAAATCTTTTTTTTTAAAAAATATTAGTTTAATTTTTGAAATAGTTAGATTTCTTATATTAACAAAACTATTTTTAAAATCTTTATTATTTTTTTTTATATCAATAATAAGTTTTGCTTTTTGAATAATTGATTTATCAGTATTTGATTCAGTTATTTGATATTTTAAAGAATTATAAATTTTTTTAACAAAATAATTATTAAATATTGATAAATTATTTTTTAAAATATCAAACATTAGATTCTTATTTAATATTTAATAAAATATATTATTTATATAAGTAGTATTTTATTATAATTATATTTTTGTAATTGCTAAAATAATATCCAAATTTTTATAATACTATCTAAATAAACTTTAAAAAATCCTTATCTAAAAAGCTTAATATATATATTCAAAAAAAGTAATATAAAATTTTCTAATAAATCTATCATCATTAAATATTTTAATTTGCTATTTTTATTGATTTTAATTCTTAATTTTGAATATATCTATCATAATTATGAACAGTAAAAGATTTTAATTATTTCATAAAGAATATTTATATAAATATTATTTTTATATTTCATTTTATTAATAATAATTGTTTCCTAATTTATTCATATAATTTATATTAATATAATTATTAATTAATTCTCATTTAATTCCTTTAGGATTATAAATTGAAATATTATTTGATGAATAATGGAAATATTAAAATTTGAATTTAATAATAATATTATAAAATAATTAATATTATGTGTTTTTATTCAATTAGTTGATTTAATCAATAAATATTATAATAATTATCAATATTAAATATAATATATTTTTATATTTTTAAACAATAATCATTTATAGTATGTTGATGATCATTTGAAATAAGAACTTTTTGTCAATTTATTATTTTGCGAGATACTAACAATCCTATATTTGTAATTATATTAATAGAAGAAAATAATGCTTCAAAAATTCTAAATATGATCCAATATCTGCTTTAATTTCATTAATATATTTATTATTGATACCTTCTAGAAAGTAACATAATGAAACTTTTTTTTTTGATTATTATTATTTGTTTTATGTGGATTAGATCCTTTATATAATTTATCAAAAAAACCAATTAAATCTGTATCTGCTATTTCTAACATATTTTTAAAATCTATAGGATTTTAAATTTGTTTTGGTTTTACTGTCTTTAGTTTATATATAGAATATTAGTCATATTAGTCATCTTTTTAATTTTATCACTAAGACTAGTTTTATTTGGAATTATTAATTGTTTTTAAATTTCTTGTTTAATCTAATCCAAATTGTTTTAATTCATCTCCAGGATATAAAATATCTTTTCTTAATATATAACTATGATTTCCAATTGCAAAATATTATCATCATCTTATTTTTTAGAAACTGGTATATTATATTCTTTTAATGTAATATATTCAGGATTTGTATCAGTTGTAAACTATAAAAATTTGCATTTTCATCTAATTGCAAAACCGAAATTAGTTTTTTGGAACTTTTTCAAGATTACTTTTATTTGAAATTTTTGATTGGCCTTCATATTCTTCATGCTTTGGATGAGAACATGTTTTTTATATTCAATATTATGTTTCATTAACAATAAATTATTATAATGAGTTTGACATAATTTCATGCCAACAGACATAGATTCTTTATGTGTAATTGATATTTTTGTATTATTAGTAATTTGTCTAATTATTCCTTTACAATCAGTAGAATAAAAATAGCAAATAGATGATTTTTTATATTGTTTAATTTATTAATATTAATAATATATTGATTTAATGATAATTCTATAATTACCTAAAATATTTTTTGATTATTTCGGCTATTTATTCTTAAATAGTTAATGAATATATTCTAAAAATTCAAGTTTCGCCCGAACTTCTGCGGTTTCGCCCGAAGCTTCAAAGTCAAATTAAATGATGATCGGCAGATGATAGGCAGATGATATGCAATGATCGGCAATAGGAGTATGAATGCATTGTGAAAAACCTTTCAGAAAAATGTATTCAAATCTTCGTATTCTAGAACAATCTGGAAGCAAATCCGAGGAGAAAGATATTGGAAAGCTGTTTTACAAAAGATTTAATGATAAGCAGATTTGGTAACAAAATTTGCGCGCAAGTGTGAGTAACAATCGGCTAAGGAGACATTTCACATCCTTCGACCTGCTAACAATGTATGTAAAGACATACATAGCTCTTCTAAAAGAAAGTCCAAATTTCCTAAATATATTTAAAACGGTAAAAATCTAAAATAGCGTTAGCAAAGATCGTCATTTCTTAGGCTTATTGCACTTGTGTGACGCATTAAATATGTGGTGAATACTAGGAAAAAAGGACAATATATATGCAGTGTTAGAGATAGGTGTTACAATTACAAAAAAAAGTCTATAAGGAAAGGAATACAGGAAATTGACCTCCGGACAATAAAATAAAAAGTTTGAATTTAGATATAAAACCAAAATTTTTATTACTGAAATTAAATTCAATCTTTTTCTTGATTTACCTTCAATAATTAAACCACAGAATTAAGTCATTGCTTGTATCGAATGCTAAAGCTGAATTAAAATATTAGTTACTAAATTACTTCCACCACTCACCTACTGTACCATTGCTTTCTCAATTACTATTCCACCTTTATTTCAAATTAATCTCAAATTGACAAGGTTTCTGTTTACCGGTACTTTAATTTTGACTTTTCACTAATACCTTAGGAAGATCCAATCTACGAACAAAATATGCCAAACGTAAGTATGGACTTTTTCACTTTTCTGAAGCACTTAAATAAGGAATTATACTCATATTTCGATGTGTGTGTATTAGTCATGTATTCTTGCTATCGGTAATACGGGGAATGGAAAAAGCTTTACGGCAACTATTTTTGGAGCGAAAGATGTGAGAATCGGACATTCAACCAAGTCCGAAACTGATACAATTACGGTTCATAATATTAAAGATGGAGGTTTCTACATAGATACACCTGGGTTCGATGACTCTGACGAACATAAGGACGATGAGGATACTAAAAGATCCATTTTTTTTAAGATGATGGAATCGGGAATTGAGAATATTACGACAATTTTGTGGTTCGTAACGCCTGACGACAGAGCGAAAGCTTCATATAAACGTCAAGCAAAATTTATAGAATCTTTGGCGAAATACTATAACGGAAATGCGTGGGACAATACCATTATTGTAACTAAAGGTGCCAGTGACTCAAATAATGCTGGCCCTCGTGATGCTGCTAGAGAAATGGCCACCTCACTTTTAAAAACTGGCGAATTTAGGATTTTATTATTTGAAAATTTACCACCTAAAAGCGTTTATCGAAAGATGCACCTCTCAAGTGATGAATTGAATGAATATGGTGTTTTTAAAGAATCAGAACCAGAAAGAATCCTTGCAAAGTATGAATCGTTAATGGAAGGACATGTCGAGCGTCCGATAGCTCTCAAAATTAGAAAAGTCAAGTGTTTGAAATGTCCTGAAGAAACTGATCCAAGGTTAGCATCGCCTAATTGTCATTTAGATTCGGAATTCTTTCACCCCAATACAGAGTCTGTTCATCAAGGAAACGTTATAGATATACATCCAGCTTCCGATTTTTATAAGCATTCTGATAGCTATGTTGGAGCTACAACTAGAAATGTTTTCGATAATAGTCCCCAAGCTTGGACCGTTCGTGCCGTTACTTTTGGAAGAATAAATCCTGATAGACCCGAGTTCGTACCTGGATATTGGAATTGCTGCAAGAATAACGATGCTAATGCACTTGGATGTAAGCATATTTATCATTGTTGCGAAAGAGCTTATTCATCTTCTGGATGCGAAAAAATTTACGATGGGTGCAAACACAAAGTTTGGGAAACTGCTTGTCATACAATCTGCAAAAACTGTAAGAAAAAATTGGATGATATAGGTTGCAAATCGAGGTGCAAGAATTGCAAACATGATAATCCACTTAGTATAAAAGGTTGTATCGATGTATCTCACAAATTTCCCTAGTTTATTTTGAAATATATAAAAAGGTTAGGAAATTAGGATTTGAAATAAATTACAACCTTCATCAAGCGGGTTTTGATTTTGTGAAATCAATGAATTCTAAACATTTGATTATAAAATAGTTTTGATTAAATAAAATATAAATAATCAAAAGATTAACACGTGTAATTAATAAATACATTAAAGTTAATATTCTTGTAATCTTGTATAACTCCCCCAGCATCTCCGACAAAAAAGCTCGGGCAAGCGAATAGTTTTAATAAACTTACAATAACCCTAATCAATGTGGTGTGACAAATAATGAGTGACAAATATGTAATCATAATAGCTCAAATAATTATCAAAATGATTTTAGCTGAAATCGAAATCTTATAATAACGATAAAATAATTTCTTGTTAATAAAATAAATTAAACTTTTCTTTAAAAATTTTTTTTTTTTTTTTACAAATAAATAGCCAGTAAATATAAAAAAATAAATTTTGTAATAAAAATTTGTATAAAATTTATTATAAATATTTAGTAATTTTATATTTGATATATTTAATAATAACTATATGACTGAATCGCAATATATGCTATTATTGAAGATAAATATTAGATATCTATCGATAGATCTTTGATATCATACTTATTAAAATAGAAGTTTATTCTAGAGTCATATTTATTGATTCAGATCCTTGTATAATTTGTTCAATTAAAGAGATTTATTCAGATACTTAATATCTGTTTTGTATTTTCCATATTGATTTGAATCTTTTAAAAAAGCTCAAAGGAAAATTAGGTATTCAGTTTGATAAAATGTGTCATAAGTTTTATATATACAATTCTTTTTGTGAAGAATTAATTAAATGTTAATGGAATTAGTTAGTAAATCATATCTAGCAGTAGCAAATATTTATCTAAAAGAAATCATAGGTAATACCTTGGAAACATAAACAATTTACTACTAGAATCCAAAGTATACAGAGAATAGAATTAATCAACAAATATATACATGAAAAAGTTGATCAAGCTACTTCATGTGTAGTCTGTTACATAATATTAAGAATCATATTAAAAATGATGAATATTTTGAAAAGTTAAAAGTTAAATAAAATGCATTAACTATAATCGATATGTTAATATTAAATACAAGGTTTTTGGTCAAATAGATGCTATTATTAAAGATTCTTAACACTTGTAATACTTGGAAAATAGTGATCAAAAATGAATGAGTTGGTATATTATGATGCCAATCATTTAAAGAATAGCAACAGTTGATAGAGATAAGTATTTTTGTTTTGTTCAGCAAAATTTCATTAGGTTTCATTAGGTTTTGTTTATATATAACTAATGATTCATATTTCTATCACTTCAAGGCAGAAACTAATAATAAAGAAATGAGTATCAGAAATCTTTTATTAAAACGATAGTGTCACGTGATTCGGGTTCAAACACCTTGTGTACAAATAAAATCGCCTTTATTATTTTAATTAAAATAAAATAAAATTCATTGAATTCACGAAATCAAAAAACCGCTTAATGAACGAGTGTGGTAATTTATTTAAAATAAACGAAATATCCTAAATTTCCTAATCTTTTTATATATTTCAAAATAATCTAGGGAAAATTGTGTGATACATCGATACAACCTTTTATACTAAGTGGATTATCATATTTGCAATTCTTGCACCTCGATTTGCAACCTATATCATCCAATTTTTTCTTACAGTTTTTGCAGATTGTAAGACAAGCAGTTTCCCAAACTTTGTGTTTGCACCCATCGTAAATTTTTTCACATCCCGAAGATTGATAATCTTTGTCGCAACAACGATAAACTTTTTTGCATCCAGGTGCATTAGCATCTTTATCTTTGCAGCACTTCCAATATCCAGATACGAACTCAGGTCTAAAAGGATTTTTTATACCAAAAGTAAAGACACGAACGGTCCAAGCGGGGGACTATCATCAAACACTTGTTTTGTAGTAGCTGCAACATAATGTTTAGAGTGTTTATAAAAATCGGAAGCTGGATGTATATCTATCACTTTTCCTTGATGAACAGACTCTGAATTGGGGTGAAACGATTCAGATTCCAAATGACAATTAGGCGATGCTAGTCTTGGGTCAGTTTCCTCGGGACATTTCGAGCACTTGACTTTTCTAATTTTGAGAGCTATTGGACGGTTGACATGTCCTTCCATTAACGATTCATACTTTGCAAGGATTCGTTCAGGTTCCGATTCTTTATAAACACCAAATCCATTTAATTGATCACTTGTGAGTTGCAACATTTTATAAACATTATCAGACGGTAAACTTTCATATAATAAAATCTTAAATTCGCCAGTTTTTGAAAGCGAAGTGGCCACTTCTTTGGCAGCATCACGAGGGCCAGCACTATTCATGTCCTTTGAACCCTTGGTTACGATGATGGTATTGTCCCATGCATTTCCGTTATAGTATTTCGCCAAGGATTCTATAAATTTTGCTTGACGTTTATATGAAGCTTTCGCTCTGTCGTCAGGCGTCACGAACCACAAGACTGTTGTTATATTCTCAATTCCCGCGTCCATCATCTTAAAGAACATAGAACGTTTAATATCCTCATCGTCCTTATGTTCGTCAGAGTCATCGAACCCAGGTGTATCTATGTAGAAATCTCCACTTTTAATATTATGAATCGTAATTGTATCAGTTTCGGACTTGGTTGAATGTCCGATTCTCACATTTTTCGCCCCAAAAATGGTTGCTGTAAAGCTTTTTCCATTCCCCGTATTACCGATAGCAAGAATACATGACTAATACACACACATCGAAATATGAGTATAATTCCTTATTTAAGTGCTTAAGAAAGATGAAACGTCCATACTTACGTATAGCATATTTTTTTCGTGCATATCAATAAAAGATATTCACTAAATCTTGGTGGAAAAAAAAATGATCAGAAAAAAAAATTCGTTTTTTAACGATTCTGTTTCCGAATGGTATTATTGGATTATGTAAAAATTAATACGTCAATTCTGCATTTTTATTAAGGTTGTAAAACATATTTGGATTAATAATACAATATTACGAAACCGGAATTAATGTCATAATTCCATCATTTCGTAACCTTTATCGTTTCATGCCAAACCAAAAAATTTTCGTCTTGGGAATTTTTTTTATCACGATGTCGAAATAATAATCAAATCTCGGAGCAAATTTATAGATAGGTTGATGTTTAGGGCACTAAGATGGTAATCCGGATGGGTAATCATATACGTCTTGGGATACTTGTTTAGTTTGAAAAAATAATAACATTTGAAACCGTATTAAAAAGCAAATACACTGAGGGTTATGAGATAAATTGCGTCGCACAGATATGATTTTGATTACCAAAAAGTTTACTCATCCTATACAAAAAGAATTATTAAAAACTTTGTATTCAGGGGGAGTATTTCAATATTTACGGAACAAAAAAAAGACCTTTACACATATGCACTTACTTTGCAAATTATAATATAACGATATTTAATAACTTTATTGATAAACTTATTTAATATACATACGGTTCATGTATTGAACATAATTTGAAACTTAAACTATAGTTTTTTTTTAATTACATAATTTACAAAAAGGTTCTGTAATTCCTAAGAATTTAAAATTATCGGGTGTTAATTAAATGCATCAACGATTTTTATTTAATCTAGATATTGAAAACTTTTTTTTTTAAAATCAAATTTCCTTATTTGGTAAACCATTCAACGAAATAAATTAAACTTATTAAGCCTTTAATGTTAGACCAAGGTTGTTTTGTTTCAATTTACCGGAAAAATATTGTAGTCTAATTTTTTTTAAATCCGGTTTTGATATGTGAGACAAATTCAAGTTCTCACTATTATTAACTTTTTTTTTCTGTATTACTGTAAAGATAAAAGATAATTTTTTTTTTTTTTTTTTTTTTTTTTTTTTTTTATAAAATGTTAAATAATAAAAAATTCCATTGTTTTATATCACAATATATACAAAATGTTTCTTTTTAAATTCTCAGCATATTTTAAATTAATTAATGTAACCCCTCTCTCTTCCTTTGAAAATTTTCCTTTCACTTAAAGATCTTTGTAACCAAACGAATTCTTCTAATACTAATTGATCACCATTCTCGAATTTGACTTTGATCTTCAAAATATGTTTAACCTTAAAGTATTTCAAAGGTCTAACACCTTCATGCGCCTGAAATCTACAAACACTTTCAAAACATGGAACATCCATTTTCATTTCAACAAAATATTCATTAATGCTTTCATCAACAAGTTCAATGCAATCGCCTGATAATTTATATTCTAATATTTTGTTTGATGCCTTAAAGTAAATGATTTCCTTGTCCGAATTTTTAAATCTTTGACGTTCTTTAATGACAACGTCGATTTCTTTGATTTTCATTTTTGGATTAGGTAAGATTAAGGTTAACGGTAGGACCATAATGCTGTTCATATCAATGTATTTGGAGGTCAATGTAGCTTTGTATATAATTGCGTCTAACAAAGGATTGGAATTTTGCTTATTTGTTTCAGACCGATGCAATGAGGCTTGATTTGGTGATTTCAATACGGAAGGAAGGCTATATCGATCAATTTGACAAGCTATCGAAATGTTTTTATTCTTGCCTTGTAATTTCAAAAAATTACGTTGACGAAATATTGTGATTTTCACCTTATATTTAATCATATCATCATTAAATATGGAATTTGGCGATGAGGAAGAATAAGAAGGAGGGATATCATCGTCAAGATGGAATTCAAAACTTAAATCAATAGAGGTTATCGGGGTAAAGGAAACTCTAGAAGAGGAATTTGTAGGTGTAATGGATTGATAAATACATTGAGTTTGAGAATAAAATGTATTTTTCGTATTCTTCAAATCATCTTGAGCGAAATTGGATAACATTTCATGACCAACCAAGGTAGCTTCAATTCTTGAAACGTTAATAGGATTCGAGATAGGGTAACGTAAATGAAAACCTCCGGAGATTTTCGAAGGTCCTATACCAAGGTATCCGGTTTGAAACGTTGTCATGTTATATGGGTATGAAAAGAAACATTTATGACTTTTCGTTTTTAAAAATTGAGTAGCTGGTCTCATTGTTGTTTATGTTTTTCATACATGTATACCCGATACTTTGTATGAAATAGAGTTAAGATAAAATTAAAATTGTTGAATATTTATATTTTTTTTTTTTTTTCTTCTTGTTTTTCTTTTTTGGTTGCTGTTTCCTGTCTCTCTATTTATTTTTATTTTTTTGTTTATTTAATTTAAATTTAATTTAATTTAATTTAAATTTTTTTTTTTTTTTTTTTTTTTGTTCAATGAAATTTCCTAACTTATTTATGGCAAAAAAAGCAGGAGTATTAAAAAAATTTTTTTTTTCAGGGATGTACCCATGTTATTTTCAGTGGTTTAAATGACCAAGTGACAATTATTAAGTCATGGAATAACTATTCCGATAATCATTACAATGGACACCCTTTTTGATGATAATTTTAACAACGATTCAAGAATTCGATAAATTTTATATAATTTATACCAGCATTTACAAAAGTGAAATTTCTAATTTTTTTTTGTGACTTAAAATGGTAAATAAAAGGGGGAATTGAAGCTTTTTCGAATCATTGCATTATCTAAAATTAGAGATTTTATTGTTCAGTTTGTACTCTTGTCAAAAAAATTTCTCATCTATAATCTAAATGATCTTATATTCGGAGTTCAAAATCAAATTCAATCTAACTATTTAAAGGTTATATCAAATTTTCTTTTTGGGAGAAAAATATTAACCAACATAATACAAAAAATTTCGATTATGTTTCAAATTTCATAAACAAATAAACAACAGTTTACCCTTTTTTGTCCAATATGCTATTCAGGGATATCGAATTTAAAAAAGAAAAAAAAAAAAAAAAAAGAGAGGGAGAGCGAATTCCACAATAAAGAGCGAATTAAAGGGCGGAATTACGAATATTCTTTATTGGGATTATTTTTTTTTGAACGATAATCTTTTTTTAGAATAACCAAATTTTACACGACATTTGACACCAACATGAAACTTTTCATGTGCTGATCATCGTACTACCAATCATCAAAATTCGAACAATGACTACCTTTAAGGGACAAATTTTCCATTATCACAAAATAAATCATCGTGTTTCATATTTTATCAAATAGGTAATGAGACAAATGATACCAAAAAAAAAATGCCCTGCAACTCAAAATCTATTATTCATATCTATCAAAGATTGACGTGAAACTCTAAATTTAAGGTTCGGCCAATAATCCTGCACGATTTTACCCATTTGATTTCGCCGAAAGGAGTCAACACTTAACCTATTTGTCTAAAATAATAAACGATTGAGTACCTATTAAGAAATCCATTATTTTAACAATGTATTCAGATGATGGTTGATGATGAAAACAATATCAGGGCGTTTCTCGCTATTTTTTTTTCGGGTCAATTCGATATACGATCGTGAAACTCAAACACCAAGTTAGTTATCAATTGCTTTTGACTGATGAAAATTAAAAAACAAAAATCTTCACAGTGATTCGGAGTTCGGAGTTGGGATTACTCGAAACACGAAATATGAAACGACCCATTTTTATGGAGGCGTACTTGTATGATGAAGTCATGTCAAAATCGCTTTGTATAAGGCGTAAGGAGGCTTCAAAAACGTACATGCTGTATCTATGTATAAACAGTATAAACCATCAGAGAAAGTTTAGCCCCACGATTATAATGTTTGGCCGGCATTACCGCATTATTGATCATTTTCTGGAAGATCGACCACCACATATTCGGATTGGGAATTGAATTTAGTTAGAAGCTTCTTTCGGTCTCGGAGCTTTCCGAATTCGCCATACATATATATACATATGGGAGGTTTTACATTATGATCTACGTACCAATAAGTTTTTTTTTAATGGAATACCCCCTTTTCGCTCCCCAATCGCAAAATATTTAAGCTTAAAAAGTTATTTGACTATTTATATTTTTTCTTTTTTTGTGTACCATATATCAATAAATATTGATCTTTATATGTTTATAGGATCTTCTTGAGTAACAATCAAGAGTAGTGCGTTGCATTATGCTAAAAGGATGTTTAAAACACTTTTTTTGCTAATATTTTATTAATATTAAACAATACATTTAAGCAAAGTTACATACAAAGAGTAATGTTGTACTTGTTGTACTTGCACCGTTGAAGAACGTTAACCACTTATACTAAGCAGCCGATTCTTTTGACACCTACTAAATGAGTTACAGTATAATACACAACATCTAAAAAAATCAAAGAGTAAGAACACATACCTTTCCTAATCTGTAGAATACGAGAGAAAAAAACAAGGGAAAAAAATATCAATAAAAATAAATAAAAGATTTTTCAAATAAAATGAATTAGTTAATGAGTCACATGACATAAAATGACATAATCACTCACCGTGTGCGTTATGCCACGTACATGAATGTTTTATGAACAAAGAAAATTTTTTTGTTTTAGGAAAATATATTTGAACATGTTCCGTTCTTTTTCCTTATTTGCACGTTTCTATAAATCATTATGCATTATATTTTAAGGAGAATGTGATGTACCGGTTTCTAAGTTTTCATGAATTGAAAATATTTTTAATCCTTAATTCGTGAAACCTGAAGTAAATTACAATGCAGTAAATGAGATTTAGCGTAAAATGAAACATATTACATCAATAATAAAAATTAAATGATTTATTCACAATACTAATTTTTTTTCTTTTAATGTTTGCAATTAAACAAAATAAAAAAAAATGATTATACATCAAGGAATATCACGTGATATACTACAAGGCTAAACACAAAAGATTCTAAATTAATATTTACAAATTCTTACTTCCTACAAGCTACCCCAAGTAATGACCATCCAACCAGATCCCATGGAGCAATTTTAATAGCTGTTTGTATAGCTTGTAAAGCTTCTAATCTTAATTTCTCGCATAATTTGACTCTCTCAACTTCAATACTTTCTTCGTCAAGTATCTCACTTAATAAATGTTGTTTGGTAATCAACAACGCTGTCACGAACGTTTGATATAATTTGGCTTTTGCCATAGTGCCCAAATTTTTTGAAGCATTTGATAAAGGATTAGATATTAATGCTAATGCTGTAGAGGCAATTGAAACCGATGCAAATGGTGATGCAATTGATGTGAGATGATTAGCGAGTCGTGTCCATCCAATCAACTCGAATGGTTTAAGATGCACTGATTTCGTGAGAGTATTTGTGGCTTCCTCGGGTGAATTCTGGTTGGAACGTTTAGAATTGAAACAAGAAATGACTTGTAAATAAAAGAGGAAAGACATTTAAAAACAGCTTCCAAAATAGCAAGTATATTTAATTATTACCCGCAATAAGAAATATCTACTCGTTAAGAAATCGACATCACGTTCTTTATCCAAGTTATCTAGATTATCCGATTAAAGTCAATATCAACACTATATTTAAATATTTAAAGTCCGATAAAAAAAATTTAGAACGCGAAGAAAAAAAAATTATTCTTACCAATAACTTTAATAGGTAACTTTATCATTTCATTTAAAGTGGCAGATGCCAAAGTTTCATCATCTTGTAATAAACCCATAGCACATAATCCAAAAATAGCAGGAAGGTGATTCGGGTTTTGTGCAATGCTACAAATTGTTTGATATTAATAAAATTATCAAATTCGATATTTCTTCAACAGCAAAAAAAAATTTTTACCATCTGAATAATTCTTCTTTTGCCAACTTTTTATGATCAACCCCTCCCAATGCCCAAAGCACTTGTGATAGTAGGACTACAACATCCTTTCGTACTTCATTAATACCAATCCCTCCGTCTGTTTGTTCAGCATCATCAGTTTCATTAAGAGCTATTTCAAACATTTGTAAGGAATCTTCTAATTGATTATTAAAATAATAAGCCAAGCCAACTCCTAACATTGTATAAATCTTGAACGTCGCTGTCGCCGTCGCCGAAGGTGTCGTATTATCCTGCTCGATCAACGATAATGCTCTATTATATGCTGAAATTGAACCAGTAAAATCATGGACTGCACATAGTACTCGACCAAGATTCCCTTGTACGTAAGCTAGTTTTCTGATCAAAAAACTAGGAATATTTGATACTTGATTTTCATCAACTAGACCTTGCTGTTGTTGGTCACGTTGAATTGACCTTTCAAGTGCTAATGTCGCGTTTGAAAATGCTTCTGCCGCTTTATCATGCTGATTAAGCCATTCATAAAATAATCCCAAAAGATTCAATGCCGCCGCGTCATCGGGTCTTTGCTCAGTAAGTTTTAACAATGCAAAAGTTGGTGATATAAGTGAGGATCGGTGTAACTTGGACGAATTTTTATATCGAACAAATGCTTGCGATGCAAAACCATAATCCGCTTCAAGCTATAAATTACAATTAGAAAAAGTTGAAGCCTATAAAGGTACAATAATTCTAGAAAATAATCACACTTACAACGTAACCTCCGCCACTGATCTCATAAGAATGTTCAAATAATTCAACAGCTTCACTACTGCTTCCCCACAAATTTGCAACATAAGCTTGTCCAACCCATCCAGGTACATAATCGGGGTCAAGTGAATGGGCTTTTGAAAATGCTTGGTTCGCAAGTTCTAAATCAGAATGTAACAAGTACAAGATTCCTAAATTCGTCCAAGGGGTTGAGCTCTAATAATTGATAATAGATAATTTCGAGTCAATAAAGATAGATATATATAAAAAAAGGGGGAGAAAAGAAGAAAAAGAAAAGAAAGAAACATAATTTTACCATTGGAGAATAATTGATTGCCCTAATAAAAGCGTTTTGACTAATTTTTGCATCATCAATAAGAGTCATAACACCAAGTGCGTTCCAAAAATTACTATTAGTTGGTTCAAATTTTAATGCAATCTTAACACTACGAATTGCGATACTCAATAAATTTGAACAATCAACTTCATTTCCATCACCGGTTATGCATTGATACACATTATAATAAATTAATCCGAGGTCATACCACAGGGCAGATGCGGTGTCCGAACGATTACCACTTAAAAGAATAGCATATTTATAAGCAAGAC